GTTTGATAAAGTTATTTACAAAGGTTGGCAGATCCAGAGCCTATCTTCTGATATATATGATATAGCATATATGATATATATCATCTCTCTATATATATGATATGTCATATATTGTATATATAATAATATTTTGTCTCACTATGTTTGGTATGGAGAACAACAAAAATTATCCATAAACAAGTACCTATGTTTTCCTATATTCCTTGTTTTGGATATCACAGATACTTCCTTAAATGACTGATAATGGTACAAATAAGTACTATGTGGCTTTACTAGAGGGTGTCTTATATTTTAGCACTTTATAAAATTACCAGATACAATAGGACATCCACTGAGTCCTCACGTTTACATGCCTAAATACTGAAGCCCATTCGGGTGACTGCCTGACTTACATAAAAGCAAGTAAATCGATTTGAGAGCCAGTAAAACTTAGATTCAAAAACCAGAGGATCAGATCACTTATTCAAGCAATATTTCTTGACATTGAATTACTGATTATTTAGTAGAAATTTGAATGGTGTGACATAAAAGATTAATACATTCTTAAAATATCAAATATGATTTAGTAATATAAACTAAGTGCAAAAGCTTATTGTGGAACTAAAAATAGATTTAAATGGTTTGAGGAAGCACTTTGGCCCAGAAGGAGATGAATTGGTGTGATTTCTAACAACTGATTTAGTAAGCCTGGGTTTTGGGTAGTTTACATTGGCCAGATCTAACATTATAGACCATTTGGTACTTGACGTTAGTTATTTTAGCAGAAAAGTGAGAAATGAAAATGATGTTTTAAGTATAAAATAATCACAGAGAGGAAAATAGAGGAAAGGAAGAAGGAGCTAAAGGCAACACAAAAAAGATAGATGAGCTACACCAGATGGTGAGCCCTGACCAGGAGAGATGCGTCAAGGATAAGCCACAATTTGGAGAAGGCAGTGTTTTGATGAATGCCATTGAGAAAGAAGGGGATACCCCACCTAGGAAATAAGAGTCTCCTCCTGCCATTCTTCAGCTGTGGGGTTCTTGACTGCCCTCACAGTGCTCTCATTTTGATGCCGTGCCTCAGTGGGTGAGTAGGTCTCCTCAGAAATTGCAAAGAAGCCAATGAGAACATCAAACTTGAATTATCCTCTCAGAGTTTATTTTTCTGCTAAAGACTGAATTTCCTATAGTTTAACCACTGAGTAAGCACCATTTGAGAAACAAAGGATTTCATTTGGCAAGAAGATCAGGTTTATTGAAATACTGAGTTTTTCTATTACGCCACAGGGAGAAATTACCTGGAATGAACGACAACAACAGAAAATGTACCAACCCTGAGATAATGGCTGCCATGTTGCTGGTTGCACTAATACTGCTAACATTTTGTGGTGGGTTCCTAAGTGTCACCTTGTTATGCAAATATGCTTCCTTGGGGTAACAGCTGGAGAATTTCAGGGCAATGGCCCATAGAGACAGGATGATTTTTGGAATTAATGAGTTTAATAATATAATGTTTGCTTCATATTTATTTCAAGGAAAGATCAGTAAGGTTTAAAACCTTTTCATAAGCTATATTACTATGTTGACAATGTAGAAATGAGATGCTTTAATATGTATTTAGGTCACGTTGGCAGAGATGTTTCTAAATTTATATTTACATGCGCATGTGATTATACTTCCCATAAATGTAGAGTTAAAATCGCTGTCGAACAACCCTTTTTGTGTATTTTTACCTTAACTATTTATAATTGAATGACATCTAAATGGAATAGAGAGAGAATAGCCATGGTGACAGAACGCTTCCTGGCTGATTTAAAGAGGAAAGAGAATCATATTTATAATATTTGGTGTAAAGTGTGGGAAGAATGGAGTTTTCCATTGCTACACCTCCGAAAATAGATCATTTTGCCTACTCTGTTTATTTTATTCTTTTCGATAATGCACATTCCTAGTCTGAAAAAATTTTCAACGTAATCGTACTGAGGTTTAAGTTGTCTACTATGACATGGTAGACAGAAGGAAATTAATGAATATTTAAGTATTTTTCATACACTGAACATGTCCCAAAGAGCACATTTTATCTCAGAAAAGAATAGTAATATATCCTGAGAAGTTCAAACATTATTTCCATGAAGCAGTTAATGTCAAGTCTTATAAAACAGGGCTAACTATAGTATCTTGCATACAGAATGTACTGAGTTAGTGTTTAAGTTAATTCATGGGAAAAAACACCATGACAGTCATTTAATTGAACACCCTTTAATATATAAGGGATATGATTATTAACACAAATTCACTCAAGCAATTGATTTTATCTTACCTTACCAGCTGGGTCAGGTTTGGGACCTATCTTATGTCTAGCATCTATGAGTATTTGTGTTACACATACCCCTGAAAACTCTCCTATAATTTTATTCTGATGTTTTACCAGTACAATTTGGGTGCTATGAAAAATACTAATGGACATATTTGTTATTGATTAAACATGAAAAACATTATGAGAAATGGACTCCTTATATGGGTTATAATACAGTAATGTGATTGTGAATATAAAAAAATTGGTTGCAAACGTCCACAAAGTGTTTCCCTTCTTCTAAAACCAATAATGCCAATCACATCGAGAATAAACACGTGCCATTGTTAAATTCAAGATCCTCTTTCAACTCATTCAGAATTATCTTTCCAGCTTTATTTTATGAACTGAAATATTGCACACAGCCAAAGTCACAAAAATATACTGAAACAAGTGAATCTGGAGTCTTTAACTGTGCTCTACCCTACCAAGTCACCAATTCTACTGAAGTGCTAATCATTGAAGACCCAGGGCTAATGCTTTCTGTCATCGTAGATTGCCTTGTGAAGTTGGAAATTTCCTGTGAATAAAATTATTTCATTACTCTTTTGTGTCTGACTCCTATTGCACAGAGTAATGCTTTTGAGACTTACGTGTAGTGCTGCCCATACCAATAGTGCGTCTCTTTCATTGTTTTTCTTCTTTGAGACAAAGTCTCCCTCTGTCACCCAGGCTGGATTGCATGGAATGCAGTGGTGCAATCCTGCCTCACTGTAATCTCTGCCTCTCAGTTGCAAGTGGTTCTCCCTCCTCAACCTCCCTGGTAGTTGAGGTTAAGGCGGGAGCCACTACGCCCCACTAATTTTTGTATTTTTAGTAGAAACGGGGTTTCACCATGTTGGCCAGGGTGGTCTTGAACTACTGACTTCAAGTGACCCACTTGCCTAGGCCTCCCAAAGTGTTGGGATTGCAGGCGTGTGTTTCTTCTTATTTCTTACTATTGTATTTTGTACATGGACTGCAATTCATTCATTCATTCACCTGGTGATAAGCATTTGGGTTATTTCTACTCTTGTTTTATGAATAAAGTTATTAGGAACATGCACGTACAAGTCTTTGTGGTGGAGCATTTTCAACTTTTCCTGGTAAATACCTAGAAGCGAAATTGCAGCGTCTTATAGAAAGTGTACAGGTTACTTTAGAAGACACTGGCACAGTGTTTTCCAAAGTAGTTACACCATTTAACACTGTAAACAGTGATTAATGAGAGTTTCCAACTGGTACTTTGTGTTGTCAGGCTTTCCAAGTTTAGCCCTTCTATGGCTATGGCAGGTAGTGAGTGGAATCTCAATGTGGTGATATCTTTCATTTCTTTGCTAACTAATTAAGTTGAGAATATCTCTCCTTTGATGAATATCTGTTCAGTTCTTTTGCCCATTTTTTTATTTTTTATTTTTTTTGAGACAGTGTGTTGTTCTGCACCCAAGCTGGAGTACAGTGGAGCAATATCAGCTCACTGCAACCTCTGTCTCCTGGTTCAAGTGATTCTCCTGCCTCAGTCTCCTGAGTAGCTGGGATTACAGGCATGCACCACCACACCTGGCTAATTTTTGTGTTTTCGGCAGAGATAATGTTTCACCATGCTAGCCAATTGGTCCTGAGCTCCTGACCTCAAGTGATCCGCTCGCCTTGGCTTCCCAAAGGGCTGGGATTACAGGAGTGAGCCACCGCGACTGACCTCCTTTGCCCAATTTTAAGTTGGATTGCTGCCTTCTTATTGTGTTGTAAGAGTTCTTTATATTCTGGCTGTTAATTCATTGTCAAGTACAGTATTGTGAATATGTTTTCCTGTTCTGCGGCTTTCATTTTCATTTTTACATGATGTTTTTTGAATATCAAATCTTCAGGCATTTTTGATAAAGTCAAATTTTTCTATTTTTTTTCTTGATCCATGTTTTTCAGATTTTACCTGTGAAATATTCATTCCCTCTAAGTAAAAATAAAAAGCTGGTCTCCTGTTTTCTTCCAGAAGTTATATAGATTTTTGCTTTTACATTTAGGTTTAAGATACATGACGATTTATTTTTAAGGGCCAAAGGTAATTTTTTTGGGCTTCTTAAATTTTGCAGCAATGTTTTCTAATTTTCTTGTAAAGCTTTTGTATAAATTTCTGCAAATATTCTCTAAATGTTAACTTTTTTTCTGATGCTATTCCAAATATTTTATTTCAAGTTCTATTTGTTTATTGTTTGTATGTAAAAATGCAATTCATCCTTTATGTTGTTGTTAATATTCTGAAACCTTGTTAAACTCAGTTGTTAGTTCCAGGAGTTTTTTGTAGGGATTAGCTAAGAGTTGAAAAAAAAAGCAATTATCGTATTGACTGTGAAACAGAAAGCTTCACTTTTCTTCTCCAATCAATGTGCCTTTTCTTTATTTCACTTGACCGATTTCCCAGTGACATGTGGACCAGGAGTGGTGAGAAAGGCCAGGCGAGCATTGTTCCTGACCTTAAGGGTAAAGGATTCCGCCTTTCATCATCATGGATATTGGCATCTGAAGGTTTTTCATGTATATCCCTCGATAGCCTGAAGACATTTTCTTTTACTCACGGTTTCCTGAGAGTTTTTGTTTGTTTGTTTGTTTTATCATGGATGGTGGTTTAGAGAGAACAAAGGTAAACATGAGCTCAGCTGTGATCTATTTTTTACCTGATTTCTTGTAGGACCAATTTGAAGCAATCACGGAAGACAGGGGACTCAGCCCAATATCCATCCTGTGATAACTGAACCTTTGCATACATAGATTAATGATATCAGCTTGAGGAGAGTCCATAGCTGTGGAACACTCTTCACAGAATGACCCTGGCTTAGAACTGCTTATGAGACACACCCAGAATCAAAGGCATTGTTATGAGGCACCTGTCCCTGAAGGATATTCTGTAACCCATGCAGAACCCTGTGGTACAAAACAGAAATGTACAAAAAAAACGATTCATAAGAAAAATTATCTCTACCCAGTGAGGAAATAATCTTTTCAATGATAAGAATTTAAACAGTTTTGATAAAGTCTGATTTATCTATTTTTTTCTCTCTTGGTTCATGGTTTCCATATTTTATCTATGAAATATTTGCCCCCTAAGTAAAAACAAAATGCTCCAGAGAGACTCCATCAACTCAGTCCTGACATCACATGTCAGAAAAGAGAATATGGGATCTGTGAAACTATACTCTGTGTTTTGGTACTATTCCTGGTTTGATTGCTCATATTCTTGATGTTATTAATTAAGCTTGATACTGTATTAGATTTCTGATCAATATGAGTCTGAATTGACAACACAATTCTTTGTGCTCACTAAGTGTAAAATTTTTGCCAAGTGATTTTTCAGCTTGTAGAGATGTTAGTATAAAGTTAAATCAACTTTACATTGCTGAGAAAAAAACTATACTTGGTCATAGCATATTATAATTTTTATATATTATTGGGTTTAATCCGTCAATATTTCATTATGGATTTTTTGCTAGTATGATTTTTTTAAATTATAGGGTTTTTTTACTGCTATACTTTAAGTCCGGGGGTACATGTGCAGAACTTGCAGGGTTGTTACAAAGGTATACACAGATCATAATGGTTTGCTGCATCCATCCCCCCATTATCTACATTAGGTGTTTCTCCTAATGTTAGCCCTCCCTAATCCCCCAACCCCCTGCTATACTTCCCATAGTGCCCCTGGTGTGTGATGTTCACCTCCCTGTGTCCATGTGTTCTCATTGTTCAACACCCACTTATTAGCGAGAAAGTGCAGTGTTTAGTTTTCTGTTTTTGTGTCAGTTTGCTGAGAATGATGCTTTCCAGATTCATACACATCCCTGCAAAGGACAGGAACTTATCCTTTTTTATGGCTGCATAGTATTCCATGGTGTATATGTGTCACATTTTCCTTGTCCAGTCTATCATTGACAGGCATTTGGGTTGGTTCCAAGTCTTTGCTATTGTAAACAGTACCACAATAAACATACATGTGCATGTGTCTTTATAATTAAATGTTTTATAATCTTTTGGGTATATACCCAGTAATGGGATTGCTGGGTCAAATGGTATTTCTATTTCTAGATCCTTGAGGAATTGTCATCCTGTGTTCCACAATGATTGAATTAATTTACATTCCCACCAACAGTGTAAAATGTTCCCATTTCTTCACATCCTCTCTAGCATCTGTTGTCTCCGGATTTTTTAATGATTGCTATTCTCACTTGTGTGATGTAGTATCTCAATGTGGTTTTGATTTGCATTTTTCTAATGACAAATGATGATGAACATTTTTTCATATGTTTGTTGGCTGCATAAATATCTTCTTTTGATAAGTGTCTGTTCATATCCTTTGCCCATTTTTTGATGGTGTTGCTTGTTTTTTCTTGTAAATTTATTTAAATTCTTTGTAGATTCTGGATATTAGCCCTTTGTCAGATGGGTAGATTGCAAAAATTTTCCCATTCTTTTGATTGCCAGTTCACTCTAATGACAGTTTCTTTTGCTTTGCAGAAGCTCTTAGGTTTAATTAGATCCCATTTGTCTATTTTGGCTTTTGTTGCCATTGCTTTTGGTGTTTGAGTCATGAAGTCCTTGTCCATGCCTATGTCCTGAATGGGATTGCCTAGGTTTTCTTCTGAGGTTTTTATGATATTAGATCTTATATTTAAATCTTTAATCCACCTAGTGTTAGTTTTTTGTATAAGGTGTATGGAAGGGATTCAGTTTCAGCTTTCTGCATATGGCTAGCCAGTTTTCCCAATACCATTTGCCAAATAAGGAATCCTTTCCCCAATGGTTGTTTTTGTCAGGTTTGCCAAAGATCAGGTGGTTGTAGATGTGTGGTCTTACTTTGGAAGCCTCTGTTCTGTTCCATTGGTCTAGTTTTGATTACTGTAGCTTTGCAGTAGAGTTTGAAGTCAGATAACATGATGCCTCCAGCTTTGTTCTTTTTGCTTAGGGTTGTCTTGGCTATATGGGCTCTCTTTTGGTCCCATATGAAGTTTAAGGTGTTTTTTTCCAATTCTGTGAAGAAATCAATGGTAACTTGATGGGGATAGCATCCATGATGAACATTGATGTGAAAATCTTCAATAAAATACTGGTAAACTGAACCCAACAGCACATCAAAAAGCTTATCCGTCATGACCCAGTAGGCTTCATCCCTGGAATGCAAGGCTGGTTCAACTTACACAAATCTGTAAACATAATCCATCACATAAACAGAAACAAAGACAAAAACCACATGATTATCGCAATAGATGCAGAGAAGACCGACAAAATTCAACAGCCCTTTATGATAAAAACTCTCAATAAACTAGGTATTGATGGAACGTATCTCAAAATAATAAAAGATATTTATGACAGACCCACAGCCAATATCACACTGAGTGGGCAAAAACTGAAAGCATTCTCTTTGAAAACTGGCACAAGACAATGATGCCCTCTCTCGCCACTCCTATTCAACACAGTATTGGAAGTTCTGGCCAGGGCAATCAGGCAAGAAAAAGAAATAAAGGTATTCAATTAGGAAAAGAGGAAGCCAAATTGTCTCTTTTTGCAGACAATATGATTATATATTTAGAAGAGCCCATCGTCTCAGCCCAAAATCTCCTTAAGCTCATAAGGAACTTCAGCAAATTCTCAGGATACAAAATCAATGTGCAAAAATCACAAGTTTCTTATGTACCAATAACAGACAAACAGAGAGCCAAATCATGAGTGAACTCCCATTCATAATTGATATAAAGAGAATAAAATACCTAGGAATACAACTAACAAGGGATGTTAAGGACCTCTTCAAGTAGAACTACAAACCGCTACTCAAGGAAATAAGAGAGGACACAAACAGACGAAAAAACATTCCATGCTCATGGTTAGAAAGAATCAATATTGTGAAAATGGCCATAACTGTGCAAGTATGTTTATGAGGAATATTGATCTGAAATTTCTTTCATTTTCTTGTAATATGTCTTATTATAATGTCAGTGCAATAATGGCATCGTAAAGTAATTTGTAAAGTAGTTATACTTCTGTTTTCTGAAAGAGAATTGTGTAGGTTTGGTATAATTTCTCCTTTTAATGTTTGAGAGATCTCAGTAAAAATATCTGGGCCTGAAGTTTTCTTTATGGGAAGGTTTTAGTTACAAAATCAATTTTTTAAAGTAAATATTCAACCTCTGTAATTTTGTAAGTCTTCTCTTAGTTTTGTTAATATATATCTTTCAAGAAATGTGACCTAGTGTTTATAATTTTTATTTCATATCCTTTTTATGTTTACATAGTAATAATTCCTCTTTCACTTCTGCTATTAGTAATTTGTGTTTTCTCTCCTGTGTTTTTGCTAATATAGCTGGAGATTTATAATTTTATTAGTATTTGCATGAGACAACTATTGATTTTATATATTTTTCAATTTGTTATCACTTTGCCATTTTATTAATTCCTGCTTTTATCATTATCATTTTCTTTCTTTTACTTAATTTCTAATAAACATACTCTTCTAGTTTCTTAAAGTGGAAAGTTATACCACTGATTTGAGCCTCTTTTCCTCTAGGGTAAGTATTTATAAGTATATTTTTTTCTTTAGGCACTGACTTTGCTGCATCCCAGAAATGTTATGTATTATTTTAACATAATTTAATTCAAAATATTTTCTATTTTTTAAGATATATTTTTTTTGTTTCATGGATATCTTTGAAGTATGTACTTAATTTTTAAATATTTGTTGATTTTTTTCCAGGTGTTTTTGCTATTGATTTTTAATATATTTTCTAGTATCATCAGTGCATTCACACTCTTTGTGATTTTGCATTTTCTATGTTTAGAGAGAAATATTTTCAGACCAGTATCAAGTCTGTCTTAGTGAATCTTCCATACATATCATTAAAAAATGATTCTTTTGTTTTGGCTTTTAGTGTGCTGTATTAAGTCAAGCTGGTTGATAGTCTTTGATAGACATAGATGGTGTTTTATATCTGTATCTTTAAAGATTTTCTTCTTGTTTTATAAATTACTGATGAAAGTGTATTGAGTCTTTAACTATAATTGTGAATTTCTTTCTTTCTATTTGCTTTTTTAATTCTATGAGATTTTGTTTTAGGCATTTTATATCTCTGTTATTAGCTGCATATATTTCAAATTTCAGTGAGCTTCTCATTTGTTGATTACATTATGAATTACCCATTATTATCCTTGGAAATAGTTCTTGTTCTGAAATTTTTTGGTTTAATCTTGGTATAACCATCTTTTTATAAGATCCATTTTTTTTTAAATTTAGTCACTTAACTTTCAACTTACGTAAATATTTTTATTTAAAAAGAGTTTTTCTTGTAGGCTTCAAATAGTTGAGTCATTCTTTTTTATCCAGTCTGACTAGATTTATATTTGGAATGTTTAGATGTTTATAGTTAATATAACTTTGGAATATTTGGATTTAAGTCCCAGACTTAAATTATATGTATTATCTATGTATCTCACTAGTTCTTTGTTTCTTTTATCTTACTCTTGTGCGTTATCTTGGATAAACTTTACTTAAAGTTTTTGGTTGTTTGCTTTCCATTTTACCTGGTTGATTGGTTAATAGATAAAACTCTTTGTTTGCTTGTGTGTGTGTGTGTGTGTGTGTGTGTGTGTGTGTGTTCAGTCATTGATTTAAAATTTACAAATGTACAATGAATTTATTATAATCTACTTTAAAATTTTATTACGCCACTTCATGTAAAAGTCAAGGAGCTTTTTACGGTAATTTCCATTACCCTTTTCTCAAAATTTGTGCTGTTTTTCAAATGTTTTAATTGCATATACGTTATCAACTCAAAAATACATGTGGCTAATATTTGCATTTATAGGTTATTTTAAATTAAAAACTAAAAAAATTTTTATGTATTTTTAAGTTTTTGCATTCATTTTTATACCCACATTTTCTTGTTTATGTGGCTTTTATTCTTATACGTTGATCTACAATTCCCCCAAGTATTTTTTGTTTTTCTTTTAGCCTAAAAAAGCTTTTTAAAATATTTCCTGAAGTGTAGATTTGCTGGTAAAAGATTGCCTCAAATTTGGCCATCCTAAAATATATATATTTTACCTTTAATTTTTGAAAGATATCACTTGTTAAAAAATTCTAAATTGACTGTCCTTGTTTTAGCACTTTAAGGGTTAGTGTTTAAATTTCGTATGTCTTTCCTTGCCCCGATGTTAAATATGTCATCCTTATACTTCTCTCCTTACAGAAAATCTGTAACATACTTTTCTATACAATATACTGTATATACATTTTAAGTATAGTCTCTGAGTGTTTATTTACAATCTGATTATGATATACCTTATTGAGATTTTGTTTTTTATCTTGCTGGAGTTTGCTATGCTTAGATCTGTATGTTTGGAATTTTCATGAAATTTGAAAAACTGGTGGCCGTTGTTTCTTTAAACCTTTTTGCACCTTCCTCTCTCACTTTTCTTCAT